TGCAAAGTCATTAGCGGTAACAATTATGCTGTTGCCTCATGAAGTGTAGACTTCTGGGGGAAAAAAAATAATTATTAGTTCTTCGATGATGTGAGGTGAATGATAGTAACTTTCAAGCATGTAATGCCAGTCATTTAAACAGAGCATTTAGCAATAATGATTGTTTCCAGCATGAAGAAGTGAGTCTTTCTTGAATTTCACAAGGCATTCCAATGACACTGATGTTGTGCAGTGTCAATCCCCAATGAGCCATAGTAAATTTAATGGCAGCAGAAATGTGCTGACTTTACTGAGTGTGAAGATGACTGAGCGTGATATGAGGCAGCGGAGCCACCGAGGGCCTCCTCGACGCTATTATCATTTTATCGGCTCCTCGGAAAAGCTAACGGCACGGATCGCAAAGTGGCGCTGAATGGCAGGAACACGTGACGCTCCTCATCGTCATGCCGACCGCATCCCTGGAGAATTATTTTATCAATGAATCAATGACCGCTCACTCGGCCTGTTAATGAACTGGGATTTCTGTGAGGCTAATGTTTGGAGCAGTGTGTTTTGAATCCTTTGACAAATCCACACAATCCTCCTATTCTGCTTTCACCTTCTCGCGCTCCTCCCCTTTCAGCTAAGGAGCCCTGCACTTCAGTGCTCTGCTCTCCTTGTCTCTTTTGTGATGGCAGAGCAATATTTCTCCTTGGTTTTTTTTCTTTTTCTTAAAGACGAGTCCTCCATCATATATATACATCACCCTCCAAAGAGCTCTTTTCTACCAGTGCTTATTCTACCTGCGCCCCATCCCTGCACTCATTCTCTCTGCAGGAGCGCATTCACACCCAGGACTAATGCGCTTCATTAATGGAGCCACTTGTGGCCAATAGAAATACAGTGGAATGCATCACTGAGAGATAGCTGCAGGGGCGCAGGCGGCCACTGTGGAACAAATGAAAGACAGGCGGCTTCACTCATTTCTCTCGTTCACATCTGAGCATCATTCACTGCTCCTCTCTCATACGGAGTCGTTCTTCCAAAGATAGCGGTTATCGCTGCTCGTGGTAGCTTGTAATAACTTTAGCACCAGATGGAGACAGAAAAGGAGGAAAGATATTCCAAGGAGAGATGGTTCTTAAATATTTTTGTGTGTGTTTGTTTTGAAAGAGATCGTAGACCAACTCTCCTCTGTTATTACATTTGCCTCTTAAGTCTCAAGATTTATTTTCTGACTAAATTGAGATTCTTAAGATCACTGCGTGTCACTCTGCACCATCTTGGGAGGTCTTTCTGAGAATGAAGGGCGACGTGTGGGGCCCTTGATGACGTGTGAAGCCAGACACACAAGGAAAACAAGCAACTCAGCTGTGCCACTTAAGTGTTTAGGCTACTCGTCACTTCACGACTCAGCACAAACACGCATGAAAATAATCGTGGACTATAACAGATTCCTACATTTTCTGCCCCCCCCCTCCCATGCACATTAAACAATAGTGCAGCACGGATGTGATTTCACAAACATGAGTTTTTCAAGAGCTCCACATTTTCCAGGAGGCTTGTCTCCTTAGCCCACTGGAACATTAAAATGCTTCTGGCCAAGGAAATTTATTTACTAATGCATGTGAACACACTGCTTTAATGAAGGGAAGGAGGAAATAAAAGCAGAAAGGCAGAGACAGAGAGAGAACTTTTTGGCCTGCCACTTTAAGGCCTCAAGGGTGGAAGCCGGGTTAAATCTGCTGCGCGACTGTTATGGCGATGTTGTTCTCTAATTTAACACAGATATGCTGCTAGTGACTGCTGCTGCAGATGTGGCTTGTCATGGGCTCTGAATAAGTGGACTGCTGCAGAGGAGAGAGGGAGGGGCAGTATATTGTGTCCAGCGCCATACATAATGTGTGCAGTACGGATGACTGGGGAAATACGTTCTGTCGTGCTGTGACTGTGGAAAATAAATGCATCAATTGCTGTTTTGTGTATAGACGCTGTCAGCCAAATTGTTACGGCCAAGGCCCCCTGGGTATCCCGGGGATGGAAACTCTAACAGCGGTGGCTGTAGCTCATGTTGTCTCACTCTGGCTCTGGGTTACCTAGATGTTAGGGAGGAGCTGAATAAGAGATTTATGATGTCTTATTAAATGCTAATTCCATAAAACTGCTTAAAAAAGCCAATCAATAATAATCTTAAACTGCTTATTCTTTTTTCATGGAATTAAAAGGTGAGACTGTTATCTGAGACTTAACTGTAAGATCCCCAGTGAGCCGTGTTATATGGCATGAAGAGACAAACTCAGGATTTTTGACTACTTCAGCCGTCCCCTAGACTAAAGTACCTCAACAACTAAACATTTATGTTTATAGGTTTGGAAGTTTATCCTTTTTTTTTTTCATCTTTGCACCTGTTAGATGGATTCCCATGCATTAAATTTGAAGCGCAGCACTCACACTGTATAGATGTTAACCTCAGGATGAACTGTAACAATGTTGGCAGTTGCGTATATAAAGTTTTATCATCAGGTTAAAGGTGTTTAGTCTTTGAGCAAATAGCCATCAAACTAATGACAAACAAGCTCAAGTGAAAAGGGGGACCTACTAAACATTATAAACCCAGACTGCATATAAATGATTGATGTAGCAACCAGGATATCACACGTGCTTTGAGATGAGCACTTTGACCTCCACCATCTTGGTTTTTTTGAAAGTGGACCTGCCAACCGAGCAGTGCACGCTCACACTTGGCAATCAGAAAGTGCTTGCTTTGGGTCAAATCATCAGTAAACACGATATCTCCTTTCACTGCTTTGCTGATGATATTCAACTATATTGTGTCCTCAATCCCAGGATGGATAAAATCATCATACGCTTTGAGGGCATCCAATTCTTAACAGAATTTCCTTAAGCTGTTGACAATAAAACAGTTTTTTTTCTGAGACATTGCAAAATTGAGATTCATTTGCTTAGACTAGTGCATTTCACTTTACTCTGGTCTCAGTCAGTCCTCTCTGTCCCGTCTACAGCCTGTCCATAATGCTGCTGCTGGGGTCCTCATAGACACACGAAAAAAGAGATCATATTGCACCTCTGGTAGCTTCTCTCCACTGGTTGCCAGTGAGGTTTGGAATCAATTTCAAGAGCTTCCTGCTTGTTTACAAAGCCTCTCATGGCTCGACTCCTTCTTACATCGCTGACCCCTACAACCCTATTCAGTTTCCAGGTCCCTCCGGTCAGATGCTTCTGGCTTTCCCCCACTTTAGATTTAAACTCAGAGGAGACCGTGTCCTCTCTGTGTTTACCCCCAAACTGTGCAACAGCATTCCCTTCAAAGTCAAATTTTCTCCTTTCCTTTGAGTCTTTTAAAATTATGCCCATGCCGCATTCCAGATACCTTGGAGCGCATTCCAGAAAAGGCGAGAAAAAACTTTTGGTTCATAGCATCACTAGCAAAACAGCACAAGACTGCATAAGACTTTGCACTTAAAAAACACATTAATGGACAGAGTCTGGTCAGTGCTCTACATATGGCTCATTTAGTGAGTCAATAATACATAAAAGTGGCAGTACAAATGAAATGTTTACAGTTTTACTACTGTTTATGTTCAGTGCCGCCATCTTGGATTGCTAACTGGACTACCACCTCAGGGTGTTATGGTAAGACTTTCCGAGAGGAAAATTGAAGTTAAGGGGGCATTCCACAAAAAGTTCTGACTGGGACTACCAACTTCTTCAGGAATGCACCATTAAACATATTTTTACTTACTAGCATTTGAGTCTGTCTGTACCTTTTTTGTCCATGA